AGTGTGGGACACGGGGAGATTGTGTCTTATTGTGTCACACAGATACACCATAGCTACTTAAAAGATCAATTGAGCAATTACAATACTCAGAGTGAGTCTGTTTGGGCCTGACCATGATTATTTTTCCTTTAATGAGAAATAGCAAGATGTTTTTGCAAAGTGTTGGCTATACGAATGATATTCAGGGTTTTTCTTATTTTGTATTAAGAGACAGTGTACGGGAAGGGGCCACCTTGCTTTCTGTAGATGCGTGGAGTTGGTGGCCACGCCTCTGGGCTGGGATGAGCTAAGCTCTCGGGGAGGCGGGGGAAACCGGGGCCGAGCTGGAGTTACAGCCGCTACAGGGGTGGCAGTTGGACCATTGCTGCTGCAGGATTTGCAGTCTGTTGTGTTTTGTTCTTTTTTAAAAATATATATTTCTTGATTTCAGAGAGGAAGGGAGAGGGAGAGAGAGATAGAAACATCAACGATGACAGAGAATCATTGATCGGCTTCCTCCTGCATGCCCCACACCAGGGATCAAGCCCGCTACCCAGGCATGTGCCCCCACAGGGAATCTAACCGTAACCTCCTAGTTCACAGGTTGACGCTCAACCACTGAGCTATGCCGGCTGGGCCAGGCCATTGTGTTTTGCAAGCCAGGAAGTATGTGGAACCTCAAGTCAAACAGCACCTTCAAAGTCTACCAAAATCTGCCTTCAGTGGTGGCTATTACATGTGGGTTTGAACCCAACAAAACAAAATGGGAAACGGAATTCACATGGGGTAAGCCCTCCTGCCAATAAAGGAAAAATAAGAGATGCGCATTAGTGAATTATGCTTTTAACCCTCCTAGACGATCCCTTCAATGAAGCTGAACGTTCACTAGAAGGCCAAGCTAAAAAAAAGTGAACATATATGTATGATGAAAAAAGTTCTTATCAGTTATGTATACGAGTACCAGCTTTTTATAATAAATGGTCCGAAGCTACACATTTTAAAAATGATTTTGCACAAACTAAGTCAAAGCCTTGGATAAGTTTCCTTTTAAATTTGAGGATTTAAAATCAGATTATAGAATATTTAGAGATGAATGCTTAGTAATTATGGATAAATACACACTATTTGAATAGAACTATGGTTCATTACTCATTTAGCAAAGAATTGGGTACTTATTTCAAGGCAAAGAGAGCATGAACTTCTCTGCTCTCACGGAACCCCAATCTAACGGAGACTGAAAAACTGGTAACAGAACGTGATAACTATCATGATGGAATTGGTGATAGTGAACTTATCTCATTGGGTACAGAGAGCTGGCTCAGCTGCTTGGAACTGTGAATTTAAAAGTGAGTAGCCATGCCGACTGGCATGGCTCAGTGGTTGAGGGTTGACCAATGAACCAGGACATATGCTTGGTTTGGGGGCTCCATCCCGTGTGGGGTGTGCAGGAGGCAGCGGATCAATGACTCTCACTCATCATTTTTGTTTGTATCTCTCTCCCCATCTCCCTTTCTCTCTGAAATCAATACAAATATATTTTTTAAAAAAATAAAAGTGCGTAGCCACAACTTTGACCTAAGAAACTGAGATAAGTAGGTATATGTCCCTGACAGAACTCAGATTCCACACGTTAAAAACTTGATGAAAAGTAAAAAACAAATCAAAACAGCTTAAGGGACAATGTTCACAGGAGGTAAACACTTCACAGATTCCCTGCCAGGCGTCCACGCTGGCCCTGACCGGGCGGCGCCCCTCACCACATCTGCTGCTGCCCCGAGGGGTCCATGCCCGTGGACGGCTCGTCCAGCAGCACCACCGATGGGTTTCCCAGGATGCTCAGCGCGAAGCACAGCTGGAAGGAAAGGAGCAGCGCATCTGGCACGGATCTGGGATCTGTGGGCCTCGCGGGGTAACCCCAGCCCCAACCCTACCTTTCTCTTGATTCCCTCTGACAAGGCCTTCACAGGGCGCTTCTGCTCCTCCTGCAGCTTGAGCGCCTCCACCAACCTGAAGCAAACACAATGGGGGCTACAGGCTTCTGAGAACCAGGACACTTGGTGGGAGAGCGAGCCAGGCAGAACCAGGGTGGGGAACAGAGCTCCGAAATGCGGTTCTGACATAGACGCTGGGCCACATTACAATGGACTGGTTTGACACCCCCCACCCCCAAATTAGTTTTTCCCTTTAAAAGATTTGAAGCCATTTTATGACATGCAAATAGCTGTCCTATGAGAGTTTACACTTAAATTTTAGTATTTTTGATAAATTTACCAATACATACTTTGTTCTTTCCATATTTAAGATGAGAAAAGAAAATAACATGTTAAAATCAGGAAAACCAGTTTGTGATCGCAAATCTCCCCATTGGGGTCTGGGTCAGTGTTGAGTCTCCTGGGAAGTCTTGAGTTTCCTGTGAAGGCTGTCACTCCAACTGACTTCCTGGACCTCTCAGCTGTGTCCTCCTCCTGCCCCCACCCCCCACCCCTGCCCCTTCCCCCCTTGTACCGTGTGATGGCGACTGTGGCATCTGCTTTCCTCAGCCCTCTCACCGCAGCGAACACGTCCAGGTGCTGCCTCACTGTCAGGTTGGGCCACAGCCCCTTCTCCTGAGGACAGTACCCCAGGAACCCCAGAGGGTCCCCTTCGCTGCTGCCTTTTAGTAGCACCTGCAGAGAAAACTTCCCTCTCAGACCCAACGGCCTGCCTTGCTCCTCTGTGTTCCCATGACATCTTTCTCCTTACAAACCTAGAAAAACTAGAGAAATTCTCCGAGCTCATTGACTCGAATCACCTGCAACCATTTTGCATTGGAAGAAGGTTGTCAGAGTGTAAATACCTGGCAACGAACAGATATTCAGGGCAAGTGACTTTAGGTAGGGCGATCCGAGAAAGCCTGCCTGCTGAGGGACCATTGCAGCAGGAGGGTGACAGGGCGCCTGCCCTGGAAAAGGCCAGGAGTTTGGGGTAGAGCAAAGCCCTGTGGAGGGATGGTGTTCAATGTGCTCTCAGACCCCAGGCTACAGTAGGGGATCTGGAGCCGAGTGGTCCAGGGGAGAAGAGAGAGATGTGATAGGAGGGTCGTGGGAATCAGCAAGGAGAGGTTTCCTTCCAGCCACAGTGCAGTGAGAGGTCTCTGAATGTATTTCAGCAGGACAATGACCTTTTATAAAGATCTCACTGACTGATCTGATTCAAGCTGGTTTCATGACACCCAAATGGTTGTTGGGTTTATAATTCAGATCTCAGGTAACCTTTAGACATATTTCATTCCAAGATCTCAATGAATGGTTACCTCTTTTTTTGCCCCTGCTTAAGGAGAAATAAAATATTGATTTTATTTCAAGGGGGTGCTCTCAACTGAACTAAGCACTCCCGATAGGCTCAACTGAGCCACCAACATCACCCAGAGGCACCTTTCACGAACACCTGCTCTCACCTCAGCTTCAGAGCAACTGTGAATATATTTCCTCCTTCCTCTTTCCTGGGACACCTGCCAATCACGTTCTTGGTGGTCTTCCCCTTGGTGGGCGTGACCACCAGCCCCTTTCCCATGGTGGAGGTGCACAGACCTCTGCCTTAGGATTCTGTTCTCCACACCCCCGACCCCCGACATACTTTTCAAAGGAGCTCTTAAGGTTACCTATCTCCTGCCATAGAATTTTAGTTTTCTCTGTAACTCATGTTGTTTCGTTGATAAATTCACCTCTTTTTCTGTTTGCTTGGCCTTCTATGCAGTTGAATTGGATGGATAATTCATTCCTTGAAATAACTCCCCCAATATAGTGTATTTCTACCAAAATATATGTTACAGTAACTAAGCACTTTTAAAGGACAATGATCGCTAAATAAAGTTGTGTGTGTTTTTTTTTTTTTAAAAAAAACGACCTCATTTTAATTCATATTGGGAGGACAGTGCTCATTAAAAGTCCAAATCCAAGTGTTTTATGGCAGTATAAATAGAATTTGTATGCATTTTGAGATTGGACATTCCCACTAATTGCCTTTACAGGCATGAATAATTATTTCCTTTCAGTGATTAGTTTGTTGTATATTAATGTGATAATTTGTAATGTGTATTCAGCCACATTAATCACTTCATTCATCTAATGAATAAGTGAGATTTGCTGTGTATAATATTTTGACATCTTATAAAATTTATTTTGAGCACCAGTAGGTAACATATTTTTCATGTGATTCACCTACCTGTCCAGCAGTTGGTTTGGTGTCTCCAGTTATCACTTTAATGGATGTACTTTTACCAGCTCCATTGTGTCCTAGTAATCCTAAAACCTCACCTGGAAAAAGAAAAAGGTCACATTTAGTACAAATTGATTTTAATAATAAAATTAAAAATAGAACATAGTCTGAAGTCTCACTGTGTGACAAGTGTTCTATGTGATTTGTAGGTTGTATCTCCTGTAATTGTCATAACCCCCTCCTGAGAGGTTATCATAAGCCCTTCTTACATATTTGGTAACAAAAGCTCTTAGGGATGAGATTAGTTGCCCAAAGTCAACTGATAGGAAGTGACAAAGTCACTCTTGGAAGCTAGGTGTATGACACCACACATCTCCTGTGATCCTAAGAACTGTGCAATAATGTCACAAAATGAAGTCAAGTACCATCTGCCGGTCAAGTCTTCAGAACATGCTGGCAAATCATTTTTGTTTTCTTGTGAACAATAATGAACGTTAGGAAATTGTGTTCATTACAGAGAAATGCACATTTTTGGGGTTTCAATGGTTTATTTCAATAGAGTGCTTATGGTTTCCATGTCCATGTGACTAAGTCCTTACCCATGGGCATGACTTAGTTAATTTCTCTAGGAATGAGCCATGTAAAAGGAGCTGTCAAGGTCACCCCACTGATGGGTCTGTGTGCGAACCAAGAGGTGGTCACAGAATGATTCTCATCAAGAACCACAAAGCTCGGAGGAGGGCTCCAAGCCAGCAGTGGGAGAGCCTCCGTGTCCAACCTTTTCTGACACAGAAAGAGACATTCCTTGTGGCGATTTTCTTCTTCTTCTTGGAAAAGCAGTGTTTCCTCCTCACTGTGTACTCCTTGCGTAGACAGCTGGCAATAATGGCTGGTCTCTGTAAATGACAAGTACGTTATGTCAGACATTAAGACTCTCTATTGACCTCGAACAAGCTTTAGCCTCCGACTGAGCTAGCCCCTGACTGCACAAGCCATGCCTCCAAGAAGACTTCCTACTAGATGACAGGTTTATGGGCCATTCTCCTATCTTAGCACTTATGTTTCCCTCTCCTACAAGGGCACTCACGCAGGAACACATTATTTTATGCAGCCAGCCCATCTCTCAGAACAGAAGCAGAGACTTGGAGAAGCACCAAATCACCCTCCAAGGACAAACAACACACTGTGGACTCGACTTTGCCCTGCATTTTGTAGTGTCCTTTCTCCAAGAAGCAGTGATTGGGGTCACTCTGCTCAGTTTCTAAAATTCACAAATTCTTTCTTGGCTTCGGAAATTTCAACTTCACTCCATTTTTAAAACTTATTTTCTATGAAAGACAAAGTGAGTTAAAATGACTTTTTAATCTGTGCTCATTTAGATGTAAAAATAATGACTACCTGCTAAAATAAAGTTATGATCCTCATTTGTATGAATTAAAGAAACGTAAAATCATTTGAGAATTAGATGCTTTCTGATTTTATTCATTTGTGTTAGTTATTGAAATAACTACTTTGTATGTTTTTACCTCGTCAAAGTTTGTGGAATTCAAGGCATTTGCTGTTCTCACTCTTTCCAGCTCAACATCTTCATCCTCCCTCTCGGGCTCCTCTGGATTTTGGTGTACATCACTGCTTCTTGGAGAAATTCTGCAGTCAAACCACCCATTAATAATTGATTTTGGTTTTTTATCCTCGTATCAAAAACACTGCATTCTTTAAATCTTATACTTGAGTAGACTGGGTGATTAATAACCCATCATAATCTCTCTTCAATCCAGTGAAATCTCCACGCCCCGTCCAAATGCAAATAGGATGCTTGATCTCCTATTAAGGTTAGGCATTTCTTTGGAATATGTGTCAGATTCACTAATTTTTCTCCATTTAACTCTGTCCCTCATACTCTCTTCCTTCTAGTCTCTCTTCCTTCAACCTAAATCTCCCATACTGATCTTAGAAGACTTCTTAAAAGTCTTCTTGTATCTGGGAAGTTTCCCATGCAACTATCGGTAAGAGTTATCAATGAAACTGATGGGGAATAAGATGCTTATGGTTGCATCATTGAATGATGGGAACAGTCTCAGCTTTGAAGTGCCATGAATAACTGAACCAGTCTATGGTCCACCAGTTGGACTTCCCACTAACACAGGAAAAGAGCTATTGCTGTCTTTGACCTATTGATCATTCTATTCTTCCGTTCTGGACCGACAGCATTCCGTCGTCACTGTCAATCTATTCACATTAAGTGCTATTTAAACTGAATGAGCCGGATGTAACTTTCCCTAGTGTTCCACTGCACAGTGTCAGACAGAGTCTTTAATATTCAATGTTTTAGGTCTGTTTGCTCCACTATTTATAATCTTTGATTTAGGTCCCTATATCTCTATTATTTATATTGACACATGGTTCCTACCCCAGCCCATTCTAGTTATTAGCACTTCTTTGTTAATAATTCATTTATGCATAAAATATTTTAAAACAGTTTTCACTGAAATAAAATAATCAAATTTCATTTTTCCTGACCGAAATAAGGGATCCTTTCTCATCGATATCTTTCCAAACTTCCATTCCAGACATCGAAGAATAAAAATCAAGATGATAACTTGAAGGAAAGGCTAGGAATAAAGAGATGCATAACTAGAAACACTAAAAGAAAATCATTTCACATGAAAAAGTGAGTTAGGAATAATTGGACTTCTATAAAGACGCATTTGGCAAAAAAAATTACCAATTTCCAATAATCTATTTGTCAAACTGTGAAACTAGTAAATTTACTCTTAATCTTGTTTACAGAAACATAGGTAACAAATATAATTGTGTGATACCATTACTTTAAATAATTTCCTCTAATAGTTATACAGTGTCCTTAAAAATTGGGAAGCATATTATCTGGTTAGTTGATTTTTATAAAAAATATTCTATTTTTACAAATATTTTATGTCTATGGGCTACAAATACCTATATATCCACACTAATAAAAAGTTCTGCTATGTTTACAGGATTAAAATAGTTTAGTTAGTAAAATACATGATAAATTTTAAAGAAGAATATGTTCTTACAAATATGAATATCACAAAGGGCTCTCCCTCATATGTAGAAAACATGAAAAGCTGCAAAAACAAAGACAATGGTTAAACATGAAAATGTTCATTTTGTGAGTTTTTGCCATATAAAGTGAATTGGACCATTTGAACAACCCTCCTGGCATACCCCCTGAAGAGTACTGGCTAAGGGTCCATTCCACAATGTGTAGTGAGGAGCTGTCTTCCTTCCTCCCAAGGTTTATGAGCCATTGTGCTTTTATTTGAAGCAATAGGATTGAGCAGTTATTCATCACCTGGTGAGAGAATCTTGGGGTCTGTTGTGCTAGCCTCCCCAAACATTGAGAGAGGGGCAAGATTTAACCTTTATCACACAGACCTTCACACACCTGCTGGTGCTCACTGCCCCTTTCATAAGTCCCCTTTCTTTCCTTTCTCTTCCCTATGGATACCCCTTAACTCACATACTGTACCTTCCTTCCATAGGTAGAAGTATAGGTATCAGTCAGCTAGAAAAAGGATCGAGAGCTTCTCTAGAATCCTGAAATCCCTAAGATTAGAGACATTTCATTTGCCCCCTTTTAGAGCTGAGCATGCCCAAGAGTGTATAGAGCCCAGATTGAGTATAAAGGCTGCTTTATTTCTCCCCACCCATTATTCTTCCTCCCCACCCATCAAGTAGGGTCAACTATTCTATTACAGTTCAGTTGGAGCATATTGCCCTATCTGGAGAGAGATTCAGCTGGAAGCATGAAGTAGAAATCTTCAAATTTCATACATACTGAACATGTTGCAGAGTCCCAGCCCTAAGCAAAGCTTTCACCATTGTTTATGTGTTCCAGGACACTGGAGCAGATGGTGGCATTACTTACATAAAAAGGTAAGATGATACAGCCAACTATTGTGATGTGTGGTACGAAAAAGTTGATGAAAAAACAGTAAAATATATCCAGGGGATTCCACTATAATTATGGCCACACATAAAAGGGTGATCTAAAAAGGAAAACAAAGCATATTAACCACTCTGAACATCAATAGATGCTCCAAATTAAGATGGCTCATCTTGGAGATATTCCTAACTTCCACTTGACCCTGAAAACCAAGCTGAAATGAGCGGATCTCCATGGACATTTTCTCTTGATGACTCAGCCACATTCCTTTGGCCTGGAGGATCATGAATGAGACCTCACTAGATAAAGCTAGGATCTAATATAGAGAGCATTTTAAATATAGAAAAGGAAAAAAGGTAGTGTATATTATTTTGGGAGATAAAATTCAGAATGATATATAAGCAAGAATTATAGGTAAAAATTGAAATTGATATCTAATAGGAATCCCCAGCCAGTGTGGTTCAGTGGTTGATCATCTGACCTATGAACCAGGAGGTCACAGTTCAATTCCCATTCTGGGCACATGTCTAGGTTGCTGGCATGATCCCCAGTATGGGGTGTGCAGGAGGCACTCTTGGGCACTCAATGGTTCTCTCTCATCATTGATGTTTCTATATC